CATTTATTACTGTAACTTACTGTGTGGTGCTGTACATTTATTACTGTAACTTACTGTGTGGTGCTGTACATTTATTACTGTAACTTACTGTGTGGTGCTGTACATTTATTACTGTAGTTTACTGTGTGGTGCTGTACGTTTATTACTGTAACTCACCATTTGGTGCTGTACATTTATTACTGTAACTTACTGTGTGGTGCTGTAAGTTTATTACTGTAACTTACTGTGTGGTGCAGTAGGCTAGCCTGTACATTTATTACTGTAACTCACCATTTGGTGCCCATCTTACACAGGCAGCAGCTCGATTGCTCCGTAATAACACTAACATGGGTTTCCATTTACCATCACACTGCGTCCAAACGTAGGCATTTCTGTCCTGGAATATGTAACATTCACAGATTAGGCTATGCAAAAGCTGTGTATAATATATAGTAGCAACATAAACATCTAAACATTAACCAAAAGCTAATACTATGCCACAACAGGGCTGCTTGAATAAATATTTTTATGACAAAATTTATGTTTTTCTTACCAAGTACATCATATTTAAAGAATATTTGAGCATGTATTGTTTTTTTTCCCTTCGTTAAACTGGTTATTTCAAAATTTTTAACTTCTAAATTTATAATTTTACTTCAAAACTCATGGCAACTTCATCATCTCGGAACCTTCCCTTCTTACTTTCACATCCTGATAAATTATCAAGTAATACGAACATTTTTCTATTCTCATCACTATTCGGTCACCCTAATTCAGTGTCATTATCTGCTTTTTTTTTAGTTCTTCTAGTCCAGTAGTTCCCAACCATCGATCCACGGGGAGATTTCAGTGGTCTGTTTGTAACAATTAAAAACAAACGTGTGTTTTAAAATATGGCTACTGAACAACTGTCCGTGAAGGTTTGGGACTAGAACTAGCCTGTCCTCGGCTGGGATACCACCTACTAAAAGACTTAAGTTTTGGAAGGTTTTTTTTAATCTACAACTTCGTCATGACCAGTTTCAAAATGTTAAAAATGAACATTAACGATGTAGGCCTAACATCTATTAACTGCTAATATTGTTTCGACCTGTCTCTTGCATCTCACTTGAGTAGTGAGTATAGTCTTGATCCCCTCATCGAAGAAAGATTCAGAAGAGGGCAACTGGGATGATTGCAAAGATGATAGAGTCATCTTATATATTGGAATCAGTTTAGATTTCTTAACCTATTTTTTCTTGATAAAATAACGGTTGATTTTATCACCCAGTTCATACTAAGACTAGATTTTCATGCAGTTTTACAAAAAAAAACTTACAGCTTCAATTTTGTAAAAGTAGCAGTACATAATGTAAGCAGCAAACCTACAATTCAAAATACAGAAAGAAAAAAAAGAGAGGTTAAAAGGGTAATGTTTACTTCCGAACATGTGACGATGCGATTAGTGTTCGGAGCCCAATCCATGCTGGTAACTCGAAGCTCATGCTGCAACAGTAACTCTGGCTCAGTCCATTTTTCACCAGCTTTTTTATAAATAAGGACCTCATTGTTATTTGGGGATAAGGCCAACTCTGTAAGACAATGAATTTTAGCTATGAGAACCATTTCCATCAAATTGTTTTAATTATTTACAATAATAAGTAATAAACATGGAGAGTGATCAAAGAGAAATTATTTAATCATTATACCTTAAATATTATTTGTCCTGAGAGAGTAAAACTGCACACCTAGAGCTGAGAATTTTATTCGGAAAAGTCCGGACACGGTACATGATATTCAAGATTGTCAAAGATGCTCGATATGCCCTCTATCACCTCAATAAGTACGTCAAGCCTAGCCCTCCACCACTTCAATAAGTACGTCAAGCCTAGCCCTCCACCACCTCAATAAGTACGTCAAGCCTAGCCCTCCACCACCTCAATAAGTACGTCAAGCCTAGCCCTCCACCACTTCAATAAGTACGTTAAGCCTAGCCCTCCACCAGATATAAATATGTTATAATATTTTTGTATATGCTGTACCATAGAACTGTAAACCATGTAATACATCTGTTACTTACAGGTTTTGTCTTTATTCCACGTGTGACACCACTTCAATAAGTACGTCAAGCCTAGCCCTCCACCACTTCAATAAGTACATCAAGCCTAGCCCTCCACCAGATATAAATATGTTATAATATTTTTGTATATGCTGTACCATAGAACTGTAAACCACATAATACATATGTTACTTACGAGTTTTGTCTTTATTCCACGTGTGACACGAGACCGGATTAGACCCAAAATTGTGTACTTCCATATTCACCAACTAGTCACTCCTCACCTTAAAAAAAGATAGGACAGATGGTCTAATTTGGATTTAAAGTCCAACATTAATTATGTATGCACAAATGTTTGACTGAAGTGAACATATGAAAGTGTCAAAAGTTGTGTCTATATAAATTTGTTGTTGTTCCGTTTACCCATTACTTACTAACTGTAGTAACAGTTAAATGTTTTATACATTACATTGGTTTACCCATTACTTACTAACTGTAGTAACAGTTAAATGTTTTATACATTACATTGGTTTACCCATTACTTACTAACTGTAGTAACAGTTAAACGTTTTATACATTACATTGGCTTACCCATTACTTATTAACTGTAGTAACATTGGTTTACCCATTACTTACTAACTGTAGTAACATTGGTTTACCCATTACTTACTAACTGTAGTAACACTGGTTTACCCATTACTTATTAACTGTAGTAACAGTTAAATGTTTTATACATTACATTGGTTTACCCATTACTTACTAACTGTAGTAACAGTTAAATGTTTTATACAAGTCAAAGGTAATTTTTAAATATTACAATTTCCTAAGTACTTTCTACATAATGTATGTTAACTTGTACCAAGTCAAAGGTAATTTTTAGCTATTACAACATCCCAAGTACTTTCTACATAATGTACGTTAACTTGTACCAAGTCAAAGGTAATTTTTAGCTATTACAATATCCCAAGTACTTTCTACATAATGTACGTTAACTTGTACCAAGTCAAAGGTAATTTTTAGCTATTACAACATCCCAAGTACTTTCTACATAATGTATGTTAACTTGTACCAAGTCAAAGGTAATTTTTAACTATTACAATATCCCAAGTACTTTCTACATAATGTATGTTAACTTGTACCAAGTCAAAGGTAATTTTTAACTATTACAATATCCCAAGTACTTTCTACATAATGTATGTTAACTTGTACCAAGTCAAAGGTAATTTTAGGTTGTATATTAAGTAGACCACTGATTCATTCTTTAAGGTACTAATTAGGCCCCTGTCATGTTCAGTTTAGATAAGATGTTTAGTGGGTTCAGAGATGGGCTGTCATCAGAACGATTCGTGGTTTGTCAAACGGAGATAAACCGAAATCTTGATTTCTTTTCTTTCACCAAAGAGTAGAATTGCCTGGGTGTGGGAGGCATTACGGAGGTTTCTAATATCATTCACTATTCAGGTGACATATTTATAAACAAAGTAATAATAACTGCAGCCATTAAGACTAGATATGACCAGTTAGAAACATGAAAACTCACACATTATTTCAATTAAGGCAACGTTAGTTTTCGAACAAAGTGGCCAACCAACTGACTAAGTTTCTTGAGTGCTAGATTCTACAAAATTATGGAGTTGGAGAGGAGGCTGGATGAATATTTTAAAGATGAGGGTTGGATACAGCAAAGATTTTTTTGTTGTATATAGCTTGGAGTAACTTGATTATAAAAACTGAATAGACTAAATAGGCCAATGATCTCTTATCCCTTGTACATAAAATAATACTAAACTTGGTCAATATTTCATATAATTTATTTCAAGTACTATGCCTAGCTGTATAATCCTTCTTTCATGAAGCCAAAGCGAATTAATAGTTGATTTTTGTTCACTTACATAACTGTTTAATAATTCTAAATATTTCTGTTATGGCCATAGAAACACAAGTTAAAGATTCAAAAACTTAACACAAGGTACATTCAAATGATGGATACTCTTTTTACAACCACTTCATATACCATCAACTTAAGTCTGATTACAGATTAATCTTATTACACTTTGAAGCAAATAGTTATCCAAGATAAAAATTGCCCACGAACAGCAACACCTGCCATAAGTTACCCAATATCTATGCATATTAGTTATTATGATTTAAAATACTTGTGATTTTTTCCTGCACACTAAGCAATTAAAACTGGCAGTGATATTGTGTGTATTTGATAATAGTTAAGCTTAGATCATCTCAAAGAGCCACAAAGCTTATTTCTACTATAATATTAGTGTTAATATTAATCGCCCTAAGATGTAAATTATACGATAAAACAGAAAACACAAACACGTGCCTAAATGTGTAATTAACTAACTTTTTTTTTCTTATACATAACATACTTACACCTTTTAATAAGTAATGTGAACGAGCAAAATTTGTAAATTATATTTAACTTTTAAGGTATCCCAAATGCTTTTCCTCGTTCAGGTGAGTCTTCACGTAGCTTACGGCAAGTTTAAAGCGGTAGAACAGCGGCACACAGCGGATAAAAATACGGTTAGGCCTAGGGGGGTACTACTTCTACTAATAGTACTACCACTAAACATTATAATTTTTCAGGCCTAAACATCGTTTCACGCTACTTGATTTTATTTCATATAAATATATATATCACAATACGTATAAATTATTTTGTGGTACCCAGATAATAAGAAAGTTAATACATAATATATCATATACTACAAACCTCCAGTGTAGCTGAGAACACGCCCGCTACCACACCCTCTGCACAACGTCCGTCTTAACACTGGGTTGCCGGGAGACAAACCGGAAATGGTACTTTCCCATAATGTACATAGAGCAAAGTCAAAATTTAACACGCGTATATCATTGTCTGGCGTCGTATTTTGCATGTTTGCTTACTTTAAAACTTTGACGACGAGACATGATTGTTATTTCTTTAGTTTTTAACTTAAATTTAAGTAACTTAAAATTAGAGAGGTGAGAATTTTTTGAACAAACTATGAAACCCCAAGTAATATTTAACTCAAATTAACAAAATTGTTTTTCTTCTGTAACAACAGTAGAATAAATACAAAAATACACCCACATATATATAAATTTGACATCAGTAATAACATCTTATTTTAAATCGCCTACATTTATGAATATCGCTAACTGTTTTACTTTTGAAATGTAAACAATGATAAAATATGCAAGAAAGATAATACGAAAAGAAAAAAAAATGTTGATTTAAACATTTTAATCAAACAATGTTGATTAAAACTACTTCACTCAGCTTGTAACAGATGACAGTAGATACACATTTGAAGAACAAAATAAAAACTTGTTTTGAACCTAGTCAGTTTGCTGCTAAATTCGTATTTAGGCTTAAGTACTATTTTTACAGTAAAATGTGACTATCAAAAGAGGGAGGGAACTTATACCACGAAAAAAATGTAAATGTATTTAATGTTCATAACGTTGCAGCTGGAAACGTTGTGAGCATCGCAAACATTAATTATTTACCTTTTTGTGGTATGAGTCACACACACACACACACACCCCTTTGTTTTATTTCCTCTTTGGAACGTACCACAACCGCAGTTGTGTGACTTTTCAAATACGTGTAAAGATTTTGAAACATTACATTCGTATGTGACAGATACTATTAAATTAAAAAGTTTCTTTGGCAGTAACAGTATGTGACGTGTCATAATTAACACAAGGCCTCCGAAAAGCGGAAATTCGGTATCAAACCTTAACCCGAAAGGGGGAAGCTTTTAATATTCTCTGCGCATTTTTGTTTGTAGATAGTAGGCGCATAAATTATTTTATTCTGATTTAAACTCGAACTGCAGTTCAGAACAATTATAAAATGGTGGTATTTTCTATTTTGTTTTGAATAAAAAAAAATTTAAATACTATAAAAACAATATCAAAGAATTTATAACCAGCGAGTTGTTATAATTACGCAGATATGTCGCTGTGCCACTAGGGGGCCGTCTGTAGTCTCTATACGAGTACTGGATATATCTTATTTGGTTTTGTCTATAATTAAGCACAAAGCTACACAATGGGCCATCTGTGCTCTGTCCACCACGGGTATCGAAACCCGGTTGTATTGTAGAAAGTCCGCAGACATACCGCTGTGCCACTGGGGGCATCTAATTTGAAACGGTATGTTCAGAATGTTATGTTGTTGGAGAGAGTCCAGAAGAGAATGATTCCAGCTTTGAAGAGTTGTCGACTGAGGATAAGCAGAAATCTTTTGCCCCCCCCCCCAGTAAGTCTGCAGGCTTATGACGCTAAAATTCGGATTTCGATACCCGTGGTGGGCAGAGCACAGATAGCCTATAGTGTAGCTTTGCGCTTAACAACAACCAAGGTATAGTTTTTTGTTGAAGATGAAATGCAACTCAGTACCCGAGCATAAGTTGAGGTGTTAACATTATTAAAGGTGAGGAATATAAATCAAAATGGCTTTTCCAAATATTTCCACACAGTAATATCAGGACAAAAAATTAAGACATCATAAACGACTTCAGTTAAGACAAATGTCATTTTTCTTATACTACATAGACATAGAGTAGTCGTCTATGGAATAGTTTGTCTTCAGGTGTGACAGAAGCTGCAACATTGAAAGAGTTTAAGAGACAATTTGGTGAGTATTAGGTTATCAGAAAGATGTTCTCTGTGTAGTTTGAAGTATGATAGTGGTAGAATATGAAATAGTTAAGATGGACAAAACAGTATCTTGTTTTCAACTGGAGAAAAAAAATCAAGATTTTGAAGTTTAAAGCAACACGATACAAAGAAAGATGGCGTACAAAGCAATGGCGGCTTGTATAGTGTTTGTCTGATGATGACAAAACCTTGTTGAAACGTTGTACATTTGCTGTTATGTTAAACTTATATTAAAGTTTTTCTTCATTCCCCTTTCAAGCCGTCTCCAGCCATTATTAGTCTCAAAGTGGGTTCCTCGTCATCAGGTACCTTGTTGAAACGTTGTACATTTGCTGTTATGTTAAACTTATATTAAAGTTTTTCTTCATTACCCATTCAAGCAGTCTCCAACCATTAAGAGTATGTTTGTAAATGAATAGTAATAGTTATAAGGAT